TTCAGGAGGGAGTTTTAAAGTTTTAAAGACAAATTCATGTCTTCAAAAATGCCTTTCAACAACAAGGCAGTGACGTGCTGGATTTCAGCAGACATATTTTATTTTTACAGCTCACTATCACACATTTACTCAAGAAGCTTCAGAATCTCAGCAGCATACAGAATCTTCTGACATGCAGCAGAGATAAGGAGAAACTTCCCCAAATGCAGGAAGTCGCTAAAAAAAAAGAGGTCAGGAAGAGCCGCTGAGGAAGGATCCAGGATGTTATGCTCAGAAAAGCAACAGTGCAGACTTCCAATGTGAACAACTGCGATGACAAAATTAGACCTTAAACGTCTGAAGAAACTGAATGTATCGGAGAGGTGTTAAGACGTGATGAAAAAAAGAAATATAAAAATAAATGAAGTAACAAAATCAGCTAAAATTACATTAATATAATTAAACAGGAGAATAACGTGTAAGTTATTAATAAACAGACTCAATTTTTGTTCTTAAACGGCGCTAGAAGTGTGCAAAAACAAAGTTTTCTGGAAGTTCATTTACAAACGCTAAAGACTGCTTCAGTCCAAGAAATACAGTAAACAAACATTTTTTGGTTCGGTTACATTTTTTGTATTTTGAGCTAATTGAATTCAAACTGCAGTTTCTCTTTCGGCCACAGGGAGGTGTTGCAGGCTTCAGGAGAGACTTCTCATTTACAGTAAACATCTCACTACCACAGCTTACAGCATAACACATTAAAGGACATGCAGGCTTACATCATGCCCATGTGCAGTCACCAAAAGCAGCGTTACTGTGTGAGACAAAATGAATGCTGAGCGCTGAGACTCGCTGCTGCACATGCCTGTGGTGGTATGTCAGAAGAGTTGCAACTTATTGTGCAACTGCGAGCCAAACACTGCTTGTTTCACTGTTTGAATTCCAGTGCTGAAGTGCTTCGGCTTTGCGAGCTGAGCTGAGGCGGATGAACAGGTTTTTCTTTGCATTGTGGCGGGGAACTTTTTTTTCCCCCTCTCTCTCTCTCTCGCTCCCTGTCATGGAGGCAGACTTATGTAAGAGGGGAGAGTCTTCCCACCGCCCCTCTCTGTTTTTGTTTTTCTCAATGAGCCAATGTCTCCCTGCCTAGGCCTCACAGCCTGTCCAGTAGGCCCCTTTCCTGGAAACATAGCCTAGCAGAGGCCACTCAGGGGCAGGCCTGTGAGGTGGGAGGGTGGGGTGGGGGGGCTCTTCCAGCAAATCACATGATTTGACCCTACAGTCATAGCTCTACATGAGGCTCAGATGCTGCAAGCACATTTCAGCAGCCAGTTTGTCATCAGCATGATTGGATGCGGCTTTAATGCACGGCAGAGTGCATGAGGCTGTAAGTAGACTCCGTGCATCCCCAGGTGTGACATTTTTGAAGTAGAAACACAACATCTAAAGGACAGTGTGTGTGTGTGTGTGTGTGTTCTTTAAAGACAGTTATGTCATTTGTTTTTATGTTGTTGGCCTTAATGCCAAAATAAACTTGATGAACAGTTTTGCAGAGATTAAAAAAATATATTTTAGTATTTGATTATGCTGACCATGATATGTAAAAATGTAATATTGATGGTGTCAATAATGCACATGTGATAATAATTGTTTTTTTGTGTGCCATTTCCACAGCCATGGTTACAGACTCTCCTTTTGAAGTCTTTGCACTTATTTTAAGTTGACGTTATTTGCCATAGTTATTAACATTGTAGCTATTTTTCTCTCTATATATATATTGCAATAATATTGATTCAGTCTGACAATAATTGTTAATTAAAATCTATTATTGTGACAGCCCTACTTGATGGAAATTCAGTGATGTGTTTCATCCAATCTAAAGCTGATGCATCGAGCTTCTTTATTGTGTGTCTGTCTTTTGTTAGAGCAGTGGTTCTCATTCTCAAAGTGGGGTCTGGGTTCGTAGCCATGAAGCAGTCTTTGCCTTCCCAGTAGATACATCTCTGGTGTTAAACCAAAATCATTAAGTTCTAACGCTGAAAACCTGCATGTAAAAAAGATCAAACTTACACAAAACTTCACAGTTTCATCAATTTATCTCGACTGTTTTGGCCAATATTAGAACGGTTGATGTTACTAAAATAATCGTTTGCTTTGAATTAGTTAATTGACCTTCATTATATAATAAAGAACACAAAGATGTGAACATTTACACCATCCAAACAAATATCTCGTGCCCTTTACTCCCACTCATTTCAAATATGAGCCAGCAGAAGCTCTGATATGTTGTGACACATTATGCCACGTGTCTGACGTAGAAAGGCTAAAAATAATTCCCACGTAGTAATTTAAATACTAGGAGGATTAAAAGGGGGTTCTGGGAAATGTTTCCAAGAACCCCCTGGTCCCAGGCGCCCCAAAAGGTTGAGAACCAGTGTGTTAGAGGTTAAAAAGTCACTGATTGATTTTTTTGTTTTTGAACAAATCTTTTGAATACCCTCGTTATGGTAGAAAGCGCCGTCGTGTTTTTATCACTGTGGCTCACCAGAACTCGCTGTTTTAATGAGTTTCAATTATTAAAATCATTAACTGTGTTATTGAATTGTAAACAAAAAGCTCCACACTGGGGGGGATGCAAATGATTATGCAATAAACACTAACATGGCTTCACATGTTGACTTTAAAAACTTCTGTTTTGCGATTTAACTTTGATGCACAGGTGCAGTTATTGCTTAAGCGGTTGCGCTTTGGTCCCGTTAGAGCACTGGAAGATGGGTGGAGGGTTACGCCTGCAGCACCCCCTGGACCCTTAGCCCTTTTAACAGCTGCTGACCCCGCTGCTCTTTTGCTGTCTTGGAGAGGAATACCAGAAGATGAGGGCAGCAGAACGCAGGCACTGATAATGAATTTCAAGTTGATTTAGTAAACAGTGGCATCAGCTTTAAACCGCATGACATTTTCCAGCTGTGCGGCCCGTACTTGTTTTGTATATATTTTTACACCGAGCTGTCAGTGCTGCCTTAAAATGTCCCACACCAGGAATGCAAACAGCGGGGCCATTCTTGTTTATGTCTTGCATTGTGGCCGCTGTGGGCACTGGCTGAGCTCGCGGTATAATGGGCCCACATGTGTTTGGAATGGACCGTCTCAGCTGTGTAGTTATTCCTTTTATTAACAAGCTGCTTCTCCGTTTCTTCCTACAGGTTTACGGTCTGTGCCGCCTTCAGTGTGCTTTACATGTGTGTTTCGTGCGGTTAAATATAGCAGATATGTGCTGTTGCTTAATTTCACACCATATTTGCTTACTGTATGCTGCAGGGGAGAGGATCACTTTGATTTACTCAGAGGTCTTTGAGCTTTCAGAGGATGAGGAGGAGGCACTCTGCAGAACCTCCACGCTGTAAATATAAATATCTGGGGACCCGATGGTTGACCACATTGCCTAACATCATGTCAAACCCACTTCTGTTTATTTGAGCAAGGTCAAACAAATGTGTTTTAGTTCCAGCTGCTCAGAAAATCGCTATACTCGGTGTAGTGAAAATGATTATATAACACACAGGATTTGTCTGCAGTTCAATGCAACTTATTCAAATGAAAAACAACTACAACCACAACTGTTTGTGATTTTTTTTTCCCCTCTCCCTCCCGGATGAATAAGTGGATGTAAAGACAGATAGCTTTATTAAATGCCACGCTGCACGACTCTATTCCTATATGATGCAACCATCCTGCAATGTTTATGAGCAGCAGCCTCATGCTAAAGTACAGTAACTGCAGCACAGTCTGGGTGCGTTATTGCGCAAATGTTCAGTGATTGCCATAACACAGTGGCTCCCAGGGCTGGAGCCGCACCCCCCCTCCCCCCCTCACTCCACCCCTCCACCCAAGCAGTTCTAGGCAAAAAAACAAGTTTCATTTTAGTAGGAAGTGAAATGAAAGAGAAAAATGAAAGGAGCTTGGGTCATTGGTTTCACTCTGCCCTCTCTTACCTCGGTACATGAAGCTCTCCCATGTACTCCCGCATGGGGTTATGTCTCTACCAGCAAAGCCTTTCACGTCTCCATGAAGGAAAAGGTGAAAAGCTCTTCCTGTCACATGGATTAAAGGCGATTATTTCAACTTTTAAAGGAATCTTGTACAATTGTAAAATACTTTGTTTTTGAAAAGAGACACTTGAATCTTCTTACAGCCAGGGTTCTTTAAAAAGTCTTATCTGCTCACGTTTTACTACTGCTACAAACACAGATTCCCTGTGTATTTGTTTAGTGTTTATCACTTTTATGTCCTTCAGTGAGCCCGGTGCTGAGCTCTTCCTACTCTTTTTCTTCTAATCAGAGGTTATGACATTGGGAAAACCAGGAATTTAGGGAGGTAAAGTAAAAGTTAAGCCAGAGGAAAATGCAAATTAGAGGCAGAAATCCAAGTATTAAAAACACTAAAAATAATGATAAAGCAGTATTTGCGGAGGTGCTGGTGGGTGTGTTTATTATTCTGGGCTATAATTTTAAAAAAGGTAGCTGGTCATCTGGTTTAGAGGAATCATTATCTTTTAAAATTCATGGTAAGAGACTGATGAAAAGCCTGGAAGTTAAGTTAGCTCATGCTCGTTTCTCAGGCAGCAACCTATCTTTTGGCAGCAGATTGAAGGTTGTGCACCAGTCCCTGACTCTGCAGATGCCAGCACTCTTAAACCCTTTGATGTCACCCATCATTGTACCCTCTACAAGAAGCCTTCAAATAGAAAAATACTTTTTTTTCTCCCCCATTTACAAAGTCATTCTTGTATATATTATCACTTTTAAGGTTTTAAAGTTTAGGTTAGAGTGCACAGCAATGCATTACCTTAGATATCTCTCTTGTGACTGTTATTATTATGCGGTCTTGGGTGAGACAAGTATGTCATTGTGTGTTTAAGCTCATGTTCTGTGATGTTTTATAAAAATGAATGCTCCTGCTTTTCCTTTTGTGTCACCTTGTTCTTGATTTTTTTAAAATTATAATTATTTTATATCTTACATATATATGTGTGTTTGAATGTAGAAATACATTTCTGCATATATTCACAGCCTTATCTTGACAGACTGCTAGTATCAGAACTGTGCAAAGCCACTTTTACACACTGATCTGTTTTTTATTATATATATATATACATAACCTTTATTCGGCATTTCTTTAATGTACATTTTATCTCTGTGTCCTTTTCTTGGTTGTATTTCTATCCCTGAGAGATGCCAAACAACATTAGCATAGTTACACTATAGATGATTTATATTTTATGTAATTTACATTGATTTCCCCCTGACTAAATAAAGGTTTCTATAATTACTTGGACATGATCACAATTTCAGCCACCTCTGATTTAGTTCTAATTAGAAAAATGCACGTGAACAAACAACAAAATAAATAAATAGCGTCCCTAGTGTTTAGTTTAATAATGAGTGTATTTTTTTATTCCTCGTACACTCGCATGTTTCTTGATTAAGTTCTGTTCATCAGCATTCGTTTATTTATTTGTTAATAATTCACAAACAACGTGATCTCATTTGTTGTACGAGCAGCGCTGGAATGTGTTCGCTGCGGCGCGTGCTGGCCGGGGAGGAATGCCTTGACCACGCCTCCCCTCCTCCCTGGCGTCCAATCAGGGCGCGGGGACCGTTTCAAGGCGCCCGCGGAGTCCCAACCGTAGAAAAACAAAACCTGGGATAACAACAAAACTCTCGTTTTACACCCAACTACGAACCAGAATTCGTTTTTCCGCGCTAGATCTTCCGTACGCGATCGATCCGCGCTGTTTTCCGTCGCTCCTAGTGGCCTCTCGGGCGATGTTGTTTATCTGTAGTAACGGGGGGCTTGAAACCGCCCTCCCTTGCCCCATTTCCTCGGTTGTTTTCCTTCTCTCGCCTGGATTCTCCATGTTGTTGCTGCAAAAGTGAGGACTCTCAAAAGAGAGGGGGGCTTCTCTGCGATATTACCAGCAATACAATCGGCACATCCGAGAAGACGGGCCGCACGGAGTCTCAAATAGCGTCCGAAGAACATATCCAAGTGCCTTGCCCCCTCCCCAGGCGGACCCACCGAGGGAAGAAGAAGAAGAAGAGGCGGCGGACGGGAGAATAATAAAGAAAGCCAGGAACAAGATAAATCCTACTCACATCGAGGATCGTAACTGAGGCGGATGACAAGTTAACTCGGCGAATAATAACGTCAGCTTGTCAATAAAACCCAATGAGGGATGCCCATCAGTACTCGGGGACAGGATTTGAGGATTTTGAGGGCTCCGTGATTGTCAGATGGAAAGTTCTGTTATCACCCAAGTGCAAAAAGAAGACGTCCAAGTGTCACCGAAAACAGGTGAGATTGGGTGTTGTTTACATCCCAAATATTCCCAGTACTCTCTTTTATGTGTACTGTTTTCTTATAAGTGATTAGTGCGGTAAGAAATCGCGTAGTGCGCCCATTTATTTGACAGTTGCGCGCTGCGGACGCGCGGTAAGAGAGGCGTATTACCCTTTTTTGACATCCACCACCGAGCAGAGCTCTGTAATCTTTACATCTTATCGCTGGAAAACACAAAGAGACCGTGCCGAAAGCTACCTTAATGTGTTTATTCTGTTTTGCCACAAACCTGTTGTTTTCCTCCACCAATCGGCTGCTGTTGAATTTGGAAATAAAACCGTGAATGTGAAAAAATCCCCGTGTTTGTTTTTGTATCGGGGGCCAGATCACCGTGTAGTTCAATCTCCGTCACTATAGCTGAATTAATGCATCGGACGTAGGCTCAGGTACAAGTTCACAGTCTCCATTACGCACCGAGCTTAGTAGCTATTGTTGATCTAGTTTTTGCCTCTCTTTTTCTTTGGCAGTGTGTGTGCTCTTGTTGTGCAAACCCATCTTTCTGGTGTATTTTTTTACCCCCCAAGTTGTTCTCGATGTAGTTGCCATGCCCAGCTTTTCCAAAATAAAAAACGAGCTGCTGTATTTATATATATCGGGTTCCAGCTCGTTTGGCAACATCCCATATCCTTCTACTACTACCACCAACACCAGGTCGAGAGAACACGGGGAGCCCTGCCTGACTGTCACCACAGGCAGCACTTACAGCTCGGTGTTTTTCAGTCTTCACAAACTACTCTTCGTGTTTTTGTTAATTGACCATGGTGGTCACATATCCGTGCGCCGTCTGTGGCTTCACGAAATAACGCTGCGCTGCTCTTTTTATTTATTTATTTATTTTTAATTTTATCGTTTCATTTGACAAAACAGCCCGAGTGGGATTTGTATTACACCATGCTGTATATTACAGGCCAAGAGGTCTTTAAGGGCTGCTGATTATACAGCAGGATGGTATAGAAATACCCGGTGCCGCGGTATTGACAGCGGAATGCACAAACACACCCCTCTGCACACGCCCGTTGTAGCGCCGTTTCAAAGATTTCGTTGTTTGCACACTTTGCTTGCGCTTGAAAGAGGCTTTGCTCGTTGATTCAGCCTCTTGGTTGTAGTTATTACAGGTCTGTGGTGCTCCAGGTCATGTGTTGGTTTTACAAAATAATTCTTCACCGTTATTCTTCTTATTATTAATGTCATTTTGCATTGCGTGTTTTGTGAGATTAAGGGATGTTTTGGATTTTGGATCCGTGTGTGCGCGCCATTCATAAAGCTCTAAAAGATTAATCTCCTTCTTCTCATCTCTCCATCATTTTACATGCAGAGGAGATCTAATGTATGCTGTTATGTCACACATGGCCAATAATGTCTTCCTGTGGAAATCAATAGGCTGATTTGCATGGCAAGATGCACATTCGTGGGCTATAAATAATGGAGGTTGTAGTTTTTCCCAGTGAAAATGCTGTGTGCAGAATTACCAAATCAAGATCCAGTGTCCTTTGTCTCCTAAACACGGAGTTGTGTAACATGCTTGATGTTGTCTGCATTATGTCTTCAGAGTGTAGAAGTAATAAATGCATAAATCTCTGAGTATGCAGTTGTTTGTCACTCTTTTCCACACTTCCTCTTTCTAGCAGGGACTAGAGAGTGTTTATGAACTATTTTGATGGGTAAAAATTCTGCAAGTCCTCACATGAAATGCACTAGAGGGGAATCACAGGGATGTTTTTCCTCCCTTTTCTTACACTGGCGGTGGCACAAGTCTTTTTTGAGGCTGGGACGCTGGTGGTCACAGTGGCTGATCAAAGACCTGCACAGAGCACTGAGGTGTGACTGCCTGTCCGGCTCGCTGGCTGCCTGACTGCCCGACCAGCTGCCTGTCTGGCTGTTCTGGCTCGCTTCAGGCAGCCCCGAAAGGTCCCCGAGTTTAAAATGGTTGGAATGTTTTCTGTCTGTCGAAAGGTACTGCTGAAAAGTGTGGGTTTTCCCGCCCTCTGTGATTATATAACATGTACCAGCCATTTCCAGCAGCAGCAGCAACAGCAGCAGCAGAGGCATTAAAAACAGATTTCATGTGGAGGCTGTGCCATCCCTGTGGACAGATGGATGGTACCTTCAGGAATTAGAGAAACTCAATCTGTGTGTCACAAGCAGCTCCTGCGTAATTATCTTTTATGGGTGAAGAAAAAAAAACAAACAAGAAAACATTTCAGTGTGTTTGCATCAAGGTTTCATTTTGCTATAAGAAAAAAGATTAGATAACATGTATCTGATCCAAGTTGTGGGCTGTAATTCAGGCCTCCACTTACCATGTTTCCCATGTTGACGACACACAGTTTCAGTGTCCGACATGAAAATTTTACTAGCCCAACCCCAAAAACGCAAAATTAGTTATTGTTAGTTTTTAATCTAAATTTGCAAAAATATTTAATAAATAAAACTTTAAAATAAATGTTTTGTTAGCAAAGGGCACTCCCCTCTTTAAACACACTCACAGGGATGCTTTTTGTCATCTTTTAAGTTTACAAGAAATCTTTGCAAACGAACAGGCAGCCTTCGTTTTATCTTCCTCTGGTTGTCGTTGTGCCATCGCTGCGTAAAACACATCAAGTTAAAACGATCTTTGTGGACATTTTAATGTAAAAGCACCAACTGGAAGAAAAAAGTCCTCCTAGTGAGGGTTCATTTTAGACAATTAGTTTCACAGGTGAACTCAATTTGTGGAAATGCAGTAGCCGGCCAATCAGCTTGCTCCACATACCTTTTTATTGGTCCACAAACAGTGGGAGCACTGGTTCTGTTGAGTGCTGCCGTTTCCTCATGAAGCGTGTTTGTGTCTCTGCTCCCGGCAGGCCAGGTGAGCCGGTCTGCCCTGAAACAGCCGCGGAGTTGCAACATCTTCAAAGCGCTTTTCTGTTGCCTCCAAGCTCAGGATGGCCCCAAATCACCAGCACTGCCGCCGCCGCCACCGCCGCCATCACCCTCCCAGCAGGGATTGCTGGAGTCACAGGAAAATGGGATGGTTGTCAAGGTAACAGTATTCGCATTTCAGAGATATTTCCACACAGCTGAAATCAATTTGAAGACCTCAGCTTCAGCCCCTGCCTTTATTTTTGTTTATTTAAGATCTTACTTCCTTGTTGCACCCACCCACACACAGACACACACACACACACACACACACACTGCTTGCCACAAAAGAGGTGTGTGAATAGTTTAGCCATCTGTACGGATAAACTTAACACGCTGTTGTAAAACTGCACTTATTGTTGTCGTCTTTTTACAACTAAAACCACCGCTGCACCTGCTCTAAACGTCTTGAAAGCTAACCGCAACTGTCTGTGGATATGGAATCACTTTGATGTTCTCGCTTTATCCCCCCCCCACCCCACCCCCCGAAGGAAGATAAGAAATGAGAGAGTGACTATCAGTCCTTTAGGCAGGCATGAGGAGGCAGAGAATCGGTGTATTGTGTTCCTCATAATTGCTGAGGTGGAGGGAAAAAAATAAAGCTCAGAGCGCTTGCTGGCCACGCTGGTGAGCGCTGTCAGCTTGATTAGGGCTTCACCACCATGTTAGGCGTATTTTAATGAGATGCCATGTTTGTTCATGTTGAGGAGTGTCCTCCAGCATCAGGAGCAAACAGGAAGCAGCATCTGTAGGACCCTGGTTATTGTCTGGCAGGCACCTACTGATATGAAACCAAATTAAACATTTGGCACCGCTAGCTTTGTTTCATTTGGTTTCTTGTGTTTAGTTGAACGAAATTGCTCTAGCAGTCACCCACCACCCCCAACCCCTCCCCAGCATAGTCTTTCCTCGATCTTAATTTGCCATCCGTAATAGATAAGCAATTTCTGTTATGTAATAAAATTAATAATTAATTTCACTTTGCCTCTTCTCATAAAGAGGCTGGAATGAAACAAAACTAACGGAGTGTAGGGGGGTGCTGGCTATCTGAAAATGAGTTTGAATAAAGGTTCTCGTTTTCCCCTGCAGGTGAATTCCTGTTGAGTTTGACAAGATGCATTGGAGAAATACTGCAAAAAGACACACATGCTAATCATAAAGCTATACCACACAGAGGCTGTTACAGTAAATCCTTAAACTTCCACACATGCATGCCTTAACAAAAACCAGTCTAATTTCCCAGAAGTAAAAATCCAGACCAAGCTTCCAGGTTTTCCATATAACTCAATGCCCTGTTGGCTACTTTGTGTTTCTCTAGTGTAATGATGAATATGACTGTCTACATGCATTTCTTTAGCTATCTGAACCAAACCTGCTGCCTGAGTTGACGGCCCAGGACCATGGGAAGCTATGCGTGGTCATAGACCTGGATGAGACCCTGGTGCACAGCTCATTCAAGGTACCGCTAACATCAGCCCAACATTATTTCAGCATGTTTACCCACGTCAGTTGGTGATTTGATGTTCCAGCTTTTCCTTCCTGCAGAAATGACAGTTGTATTTGGGTAACACTGATTAAACGACCGCCTGTTTATTGGGCGTGTTTCTGCTGCGATTCTTTGTTTCTCTTAGAAAAGTCGTCGCATGTGTTTGAGGAACATCAAAGCGAGTCTTATTCTATTTGTGTAGGCTATGTGCTGTGATTTATGGCAGCGATGAAGAGCCTGGTTCTTGCTGTTCAGCTGTTATGTAATGCCATGTGAATGTACACAGCGTGGCTCATGTGAATGAGCATGCCAACCATCTCCCTCTGTGTTCTCCCTCCAGCCTATTAGTAATGCAGACTTCATCGTGCCTGTGGAGATAGAGGGGACCACACACCAGGTAAACTACTCTGTATGAGTGCCTTTCCTGTAAGGGGAGGGGGGGTGTATATGTATGTTGATGTGTTTGCAGTGGTTGCTGAGCTGAAAAGGGATGGGTCAGTTAGGTTTTTTTAAGATGGTTAAACAGAGCCCTCTAGTGGCCAGATTTTGAACAAGACTGCACAAGTCAAAGTGGATGCATCAGCAGGAAAATGAGTCATTTCAGCTAAAATGTCATTAATAATTGATACAGTGCCTCTGCAAGGACGATTTTGAAATAAATGTACAAGTATAGCATTGTGTTGAACTTTGGGGCACAAGGTCTTAAAGTTGGACGTGTGGAAATATAATTAACTAAGAAATGTGATTCAAGCGATCCCACGTGATGGTAAGGAATCCTGTGGGCCTCTGCCTGGTTCAAGTAATCCAGGATAGGCTGGTTAACACTGCACGGCCTATTCTTGATTACTTGTTTCAGGAACTGGCCATTAGCAGCTGACGGATGGAAATGAATCGTGCAGATGAACAAAAAACATGGTATTATTATTATTAAACCTTCACACTTTACAGACTAGTTGATCTTGCAACTGCACTGATAATGGACATGGCACAAAATCTCTTTCAGACGTGAGAGATGCACTTTCTCTTTTGTTTAATTTAAATTGTATGTTGTGTACTTTTATTTCCACTTGAACACTTACAAGATCCCAAAGTAAGCCGCCAGTTTAAGAAGTTGGTGCTGCACTAATCTTAACAATTATTTGTAGTGTCTAGAAGACTACTAACTACCTTCTCTTTAAAGGGTTTTCCATGTATTGGATTTCTTTAGGATTGGCATATTTCTCAATCTTGTGCCAAGTCTGCATTTGTTTCAGCTTCCTGTCTTGATAGTGTATTGTTTAAGGTGACAGCTTCCTTATCCTGTTTCCCAGTTTTAAAAACTTGTGTTAAATGAAGCTGAGGCATAATTATTTTTATAAGACTTAACATATTCTAAGCTCTACTTTACAAAAAAGCCTTCTCCTAGACCTCTTGAGCACTAAAAAAATTTTTTATATATACTTTAAGCTTCATTGGCAATATTTGGTGGTTGCTGTTGTTGGTGTGACTGAATTAAAATCACACACTCATTTGGTTAAATGACAGTAGTGTGTTGAGCTGTTCACCAACCGCTTGCTTCCCTTTCAGGTGTATGTGCTGAAGAGGCCGTATGTGGACGAGTTCCTGCAGAGAATGGGCGAATTGTTTGAATGTGTGCTGTTTACAGCCAGTCTTGCTAAGGTACTTCACATCAGATACTGACAGTTTCCTGAAATTAGATGCCGGAATAAACATGAAGATCTTTGTTTAGCTGATGTCTGATCTATCAGATGTGCTTTCTCTCACCTTTTTAGTTCCCTCTCTTACTCTAACGTGCTGATAGACACCTTTAGTGAACACCCACACCCTCCATGCTTAAAGGAATAGATGGGTGTCAGTTTATACAAAACTCATCTTAAAGTCTTAGTGCCAGCTGTGTCCCAGTTTAATATTCTGTAGCAGCTTAGCACAGCCTTGTATCTCCCTGCTCTTCCCTCACCTGCTACCCAATCCTCCCACCAGTACGCAGACCCGGTGACGGACCTGCTGGACCAGGGAGGAGTATTCCGGACCCGGTTGTTTCGGGAATCTTGTGTATTCCACCAGGGCTGCTATGTCAAGGATTTAAGCCGCCTAGGCAGAGACCTCCACAAAACCCTCATCCTGGACAACTCTCCTGCCTCCTACATCTTCCACCCAAATAATGCTGTGAGTTTGGACCAGTCTCTGCAAATCTGGTGCACACTGCCTTTCATAAAGGACTTAGTTGGTTGTATGTGTCAAATTAAGCTGACTGAGGGTCTGAGAACTTGAACCACAGAAGTGAATTTGACGTATTTGATAAATCAAGCCAGGAACATAACCAAATTATGACTCTCTCTGTACTAGGAAAAGGTTTTCCTGACCAATACGATGATGTAAAACCACCAAACTAAACACTTGCCTTTAGAT